GGGGGGGGGGGGATTACATTGGTGCCGTGACCCGGATAGGAGTGAGGCTTAGGTGGGTGAGTGTAACGGAGGCCAGATGGTAGGTGCTGTGCAGGTAAACCGCACTCCCCTGATCTCAAGAGGCACACTAGCATCTGATGCTGAAGGTTGTGGTCTTTAGCCTCCTTGTTAGTGCGCTTTCCTCACATGCCAGTGACCCAGGTTCGAGTCCCGCTCAGAGCGGGTGTGAGTAGTAGGACCCGTGGGGTTTACACCAGCTTAGAATAAAAATGTTTGCAAGTAACACATCTAATCAGTGTTGTCATGATGTCATTTTCCTGTTTCCAGAGTGATTATGCTGCATTCCAGACAACTCGAAATTCATTTTTCCCACCTCCTACTTGGGAAATAACATCTAAAATGTCTAGGTTTTAACTGCTTGAAGTCGGACATCCGATTTGTGAACTCGGGCAAATCAATCAACCCTGACTTAAGCGAGACGCGTCATTTGACCTCACTGCATCCAACAAGCATAGTGTGGAGCTACCTCGTGCCAAACTTAAAACCATTACACATTAAGCTTATAAAATGATACCTTAATTTTTGCTTTACGCCAGCTGTTTTCAAAACGAACAGCAGCATTTGATGTTAATTTTTTTTCCTCAGTCTTTCCCCATAATTGACGCAAAAACATGAAATGCTCTCGTTGTGTCATGGCAAAATCATGAGGTCAATATGTTAACATTACGTGTGATTGGCTCGAACTCACTGAGGTTTGAAGTGGGACATTTCAACTTGGATGTTCCCACTTCCGACCTCATCTGGAACACGGCATTAGTCACATGACATTTGCAGCTCAGGTGATTGGCTCTGAAAGATCTGTCGCCTGCGAGAGCAAAGATGGCCGGATTGAAATTTCCAGACCACCATGTTTATACAGGTAACAATTGTATGCGCACACAATTTAGTGACTAAATTTAGGCTAAATCTTCCTCAGTCGTATGCCACGTACCCATAGTTTTAGTAGCTTTAGTAAATGTGGATTTTTGTCTCCACACCAGTTTTTCCAGACGTTCCTGGTGGCCCAAAACAGTCATCTGTCACTCATCGGCCCAGAAAACAGCACCTAATGGCTTTCACAAGTCAGCGTGGAATAATTGTTTATAATTCATCAGCCAGGCCTGTTTGAGTTCAAAATTGAGAGCTGAGCTCATGTTGCATATGGCGAATTTAAAACCAGCCTAATGTGGAAAATGAAACACTAGCATTTGAAAAACACAACTTTATTAACAGGTCTGAGAATGCCATTGACATCCACGTTGACGATGAGGTCATG